CTCTCTGGCTTCACAGGACCCGTGTGGGCCTGACTCTCGGTGGACACCAGATTCACACCAGCCACTGAGGACCACGTGCTCAGGCTCCTCTTCTCCTGGAAGTCTGGACCCAGGGAAGGGTAGGATCTCCTGCTTGTGTCAGACTGGGAAATGCCCACAACCCCCAGCTAATCACTGCGGTCTTCCCGCGCTGTGGGAGTTGAAAGGTCTGTTGGACATTTTGGCATGGAAGGAAATATAGGGCTAGGGTCCGAGGTCCAGATCCATCATGGCAAGCAGGGAGAGACCAGGCCGCCCCCTCCCACTGGGCTTCCTCACCAGCTTCTCCCCGGAATTCTGAACCAGGAGACGGAGGAGAAAGCAAACGATAGAGTGCTGGGTACTTACAGCCAGAGAGATAACCAGGAAGAAAGTAGACCTTTGCTGTCAAGTCATTTTCAAATAATCAAAATCTCTGAGAAAACAGCAAGGACAACATATGGAATAACTGAAGGAGAGGTAAGATTTTTCATATCGGGTGACATAAATCTACAATGACAGCGACAATAAATGAGCCGGGCAGAGACTGTGTAAGTGAAGTTTAGTGAGAAGGTGCCTCATTCCAAAGCACTCAGTTTTATCTTCTTCTATCTTGTTTATTAAAAGCTTGTGGTTTTTCCAACATATGTAGCTGATTTCATGTACTTTTGGTATTTCTCTAGCATTTCTAGCAGTTGTTCACTTTCTCCCTGGAAAGCTGGTACTCTTGGCGACTTGAAAAATGCTCACCCCACCACCACCAAGTTCTGTGTGACACCATCCACGCAATACATCACGTCGGCCCCCCTTTCTGTACAGAAGACATGCTCAGACAGTGTGAGGGCCAGGGGCCAGGTGTCCTTACACATCAGCTGGTTAGAACACCGACCAGTTCGGACAGGTTCGTGAGTTTGAGCTTGGAGCAGACTGGATCTGTCTTCTCTTCCATGGCTCCCAATTGCATCCCCAGCATCCACCCCCCCTCATTCAAGATCAGAATGATAGCAGACCCTATTGTGGATGGATCAGCACCTACATATCACCGGATTAGAGAAGCAACCGTAACAACACAGGCCTAATTATTGACCATCTCTGCAAGTAAAAGACAGGTATCAAAGTATTAAACAAAATATTTTTGTTGTTAAACAAAATGTGCCTAGTTGGAAATGATTTCCTAGGTCTGAGCATCTCTCAAGTGAATGATATGTGGCAAGGAAGTAAGCATATCACAAAATCTGATGTTTCGGGGCACATGGGTAGTGAGAAGAAAAACAGAGGAAAGTGCAGTATTTCAGAAAAGAAAAAGAAAAAAAAGACTGCTGAGAAACAGTACTAGTTGGATTTTTTTGTGGTGATCATTCTTTCTGTTTATAATTTTCCTAATATTCATAATACTAGGTATAGATTTAGAACTCACTACCCCGAGTCTCTTGCTGTCTTGATTATGTCTCCAGAAGTGTGTGTGCTGTATTTGTTTATACCATTGTCAAAATTTAGAGCACACTGCATGCAAAGTACAAAAGTAAAACATCAATATGAACTGGAAATGTCTCATAAAATCACAGGTCCGTTTTTCCCTTGTATTTTTCAGTCTTTTCCAAGTAGTCTACCATGAACATGAACTACCCTCACAGATAGAAAATAATCATTTACACTGTCTGCTAATGAAGACAATGCCGTTTTGTATGTTCCAAAGTTCGTAATATGGGTGTTGTCTATTCTTTCTCCATCCCTTCTTTCGCTCTTCAAACAGCCAGTTTTGGAAATGAGACTCCGCTTTGATGGTATGCCAGGGTCCAATTAAACTACTTCTGAATTTCACAAGTCCAGTATTTCAACTGAGAGATTTCAGCTCACTCGACACATTCTAACACACTTGTGCAAAATGAAACATTGCCTATGTGAATAATTAGCTGGAATAATGTATGAAAGCAAACAGACAGTTTTGGGGGCAGTCACTAAGTGTTCTTATAAAGAACCTGAGAGGTAGGTGAAGAGAAGGGCCTTTCCTTTGACCCAGCACAGGGTCTACCGTAGTGGGTGCGGTATTGAGAGAGGAATGAGAGAGGTTAGGTATCCAGCCGGCCAGATCAGACCTAGTGCTCAACCAGAAGAAAAATGTCTCAGCCAGATAACCATCGCATCACCGTCTACGAAAATCATCCAGTGCTCAGTCTGTAGCTCTAGCATTTGAGACAGAGAGAACAGCGGTGGTGCTTGGGTGTGTTTGAGCGGCCAGCACTGCTCTGGCTCAGCCCACTCTACGGCTTAGTTATAATTTCTATTTTTAAAAGTCTCCCTTCATGTAGCTGACCTTTGTACTTTGCTGGTTAATTGTAATGGTATCTGCAAAAGGTGGTAGCTAACCGAGAGGAAAAGAAAGCAGGCACAAGTGAAATGTAGCACCTCTCTGGCTAATTCAGAACTGCTTCTTCAGTCACTCCAGATGCAGTGTAGTTACCACCCCCAGGCTGGGGTGTTCAGAGTCTCTTATTTTGGAGTTTGGCCCAGCTGGGGCTTGAAACTGGCTCCAGACGGTTTAGTAGCATTACCAGATGGTAGGATTCTCTGGGGAGGAATTCTACTTGGGCTTTCTAGTTCCTAACCAGGTCTTGGAGCACACTGCTTTCTTGCCCAGTCATCAGCGAACTCAGCTTTCTCATTCCTTACCTACCCTGTCTCTCCCTATCTCAGAGAGAGAGAGAGATTGTTCTCTATTTCCCATATACGCTAGTAGAAGCAGTATTCTTTTTTCCCCTCTATTATCAGGATTTCTCTCCCCCAAAAGCCATTTTCCTTTTTAATTATTGTTTGTTTGTTTCTCTTTGCTTTGTTTTAAGAAATCCTTCTCAGTCTCATCTGACAATTCTGAATTTCAAAAACAACTAAAATCTTTACCAACCATCCTATACCAGGAGCATAATCTGGGCTTGGATTAGAAAGATGCCTGCGAAAACCAAAAATATAATTTATCTTTAAAGTAGTTTCTTCACAAAAGGAGTATTTGGTTTTGGTTTTGACTGTTTTATTTTTGTTTGTTTGCTTATTTTTGTTCTGGGCTAAACAAATAAGTCTCCCTTTCAATTCATTTTCGTGTTTAATTTCCACTTGTTCTGTGGCCACCCCAAACTTGTGCACTAAATTCCTTTCTGCTTCAATTAGCCAGCTTTTGGTTAGCTTAGTCTCTCAAATAAACAAAAATATTAACCAATGTACGTTGCCTCACATCTTCTCCCTGTTCTAAAATTTCTAGCGATTAAGCATAGATTAGATAACAGCCATCCAAATGTTATCTCCCAGATAAATTTCCCAGATCAGCAAACTGAAATTAAAGGAATGGGGAACAAGAGTTGATACAGGAAGGGGCTACTTCAGCAGCACAATATTGTGAAGTGTATCCCTATCTGACACAAAGAAAGGTGAGAGGGCACATGTCCATCTACAACACAGGAGGTCAGGACTTTGACTATTGGCAGTTTGTCCCATAGTCGGCTTTGGTTCAAGACTGTGGTAGGATTCTTCCTACTACTTCAGAAATAAATGCTTTGGGACAGAAATCACTGGGACTAGGGAAAAGGGGTAAGGACAGATACCAGTGGCAGGCAGTGACAGAGTTGAGGTTACACATCTCCTTACATATACTGGGTCATTCATATGCTTTTACGAACATTATCGCTGCTGCTCTTCACAGCAATGGGGAAGAAAGGAGAGCAGATATCATGGTCTCCATTTTATTGTTAAAAACTCTGAGCTTTCAGAGAGATGAATTAAGTTTTCAAAGGGTCCAAGGCTGAATCCCACATCTGCTCTCTTTTCCTTTAAAGAAACCAACGAGCCCTGGCCAGTTTGGCTCAGTGGTTAGAGAATCAGCCTGTGGACTGAAGGGCACTTACCTGGGTTACAGGTTAGATCCCCTGCGCCCTGGTCAGAGTTACACAGGAGGTGGCCAATCAATGTGTCTCTCTCACAGAAATGTCTCTCTCTCCCTCTCTCTCTCTCTCCCTTCCTTCCTTCCATTCTATCTAAAATTCAATGGAAAAATATCCTCTGGTGAGGACTAACAAAAAAGAAAAGAAACCAATGAGCCAGGCTAAGCAATATGTTGGCAGAGAGGAACAAATAGTAAATGAGTGAAGAGTTGTAGACCTTTAATTATTAATAGTTACTACATAGGTTATACCACCTGTTAGGTTCTGAGTTGAGCCCCTTACCTTTAAGATGAGGATAACATACGGTTGCCCCAGAGAAGGGCCTGGCAGCACAGCAGGTGCTCAATTAATGTTTAATGAATGAATGAGATAAGACATGAGATAGAATGGGCAACCTGAGAGAGGGCCTTAGTGCCCTACAAGGTGTTCTGATTCAACACAACAGGCAAATAGAAGACGCCGAGAGGATTCACGTAGAAGCACCGGATCAAGCTCCGTGGCTCATTGGTCAACTGCAAAAACTTTTATACTCAGCTTTGTTTTTCAATGACAAAGTCTGAAATGAGGAACAACCATGCCGCCTTCCAACAACCTACCTACCTATCTACCGCGGCAACTCCCAGGAGAAAACAGTTTTCCTTAGGCGTTGCAGTTGTTCCCTTTCCCTTTTGCTTTCACCTCCCGGAATGTGTGTTTGGACAGACCTCAGGTTTCTGAAGAACCGCGGCAGCTTGGAGGCGTTCGATCACTGTAAATTCAAGCCCAACCGAAAGGCGTCCCCGCTCCGTGCAGCGTCGCCCAGCGGGCAGAGGCGGCGGGTGTTTTCGGGGCCTCCCTCCCCCCGCAGTACTCGGCGCCTGCAAGCTGCCACCTCCCCAGGCGGCCCGGGGAACTCAGCCGGCGCTGGGAGGTGAGGCCTAGGCTGAGCGGGCGCCACTATTGGCTGGCGGGGCGGCGGAGGCGGGGCGGCGCCGTCGTGATTGGCGGGGGCCCCAGCAGGAGGGGGCGGGGCCGCTATATCAGAGGAGTCCCTGTCGCGGCGCAGGCAGTCGGGCTGCTGGAGTGTGGCGCCGCCGCGGGGACCTGGAGAGTCGGCAGGCAGGCGGGCGGGCGAGCTGGCGAGGGGGTGGCGGCCGCAGGGCGCAGGGCAGGGATCTACAGAGAGGCAGCCTCCCGACGGCCAGCCTCGCCGAGCCCGGGACTGGGTCTGATTGCTGGCGAGGCGGCAGCCCCGCGCGCACCAAAGAGGAGGCGGCTGCAGCGGCGGCGGCGGCCCCAGCCATGCTGTGCTATGTGACGAGGCCGGACGCGGTGCTGATGGAGGTGGAGGTGGAAGCGAAAGCCAACGGCGAGGACTGCCTCAACCAGGTGAGGATGAGGGGCCAAGCGAGGACCCGATGGTCCTCCAAGGCGGAGGAGCCTCGCGGCGGCGCCCGAGCGCATCGCTTGCCCGGGGCCGGGCGGAGCTGCGGCGGCGGCCAGGGGGAGCGCGGCCCCGGGCAGAGCGCCCCGGGCACACGGCTCGTGCTCCCTCCTTACCGTGGGTGTGGGGCTCGCGGCCTTCAACCCAGTGCCCTGTGAGCGCGTGGTGGGGGGCGTGGAGAACGCGTGCGGCGTCTGGCCCCCAACCCCCCAGCCCGGCACTTTCCCAGAAGAAGGCAGCCCAGCACACCTGCCGCAGGTGTGTGCATGATGCCGCCTGTCTGGTCCCCGCGGGGCCTGGCAATGACACCTGCGTCTCAAGATGAGGTGTTTGGAGGCGGTCGCAGGTCCCGGGTTGCTTTAGCAGACAAGCCTGGCCCTTGTCTCTTGCTGCTTTTCAAATGGACCATTCACCTGCATCTGCGGATTTGCGGGGAATGAGAGAGGACAGTAGGCTTTGGTCATCTCCTCTTGTCTTGGAGCACGCGGTGTTTCCCCAAGAGTGAGGAGTGGTTACAAACAGTGGACACTGGAAAGCAGACAGCAGATTTGATCTCAAGTGAAATGCTGTGTCCTGAAACCCCCTAGACCTGAGATGTTTGGAAAACCTCTTGTAAAGCTTAGCTGACACTTGTGGAGTGTTTCCTCAATTTTTCTTCTTTCCTTTTCTTTTTTTTCCCTTTGCGCCCAGATGGTTAAAATTGCCCAGATACTAAGCTGCCAAATCAGCTGTGTCGACTTTGCTGGCGGAGGGAATTCTAGTGATTGGAATAAGAAGGAAAATACCCTGAGATTACCTTCCTCCACTTTTCTGGAAGGCTGCTCTTGAGGACTCCTTTTTCTTTACTGCCATTGGCAATGTTATAGATATTAAAGGAAGGACAAGCCTCTATACTTCACCTAGTGGTTTAGCATCTCTGGAGCCTTAGAACTTTGCTCTTCCAGTTTACAGCAGAAATTGTAACACTGTTGAACTTTGTAAAAAGTAGGCAGGAATCTTAGACTCACATGGAGACCTTGGGTTTGCTTTGACTGGGTGGACCATATGCTCATCCATGCTGCATTCATTTTCGTTTTAGGTGTGCAGGCGATTGGGAATTATAGAAGTTGATTATTTTGGACTGCAGTTTACGGGTAGCAAAGGTGAAAGTTTATGGCTAAATCTGAGAAACCGGATCTCCCAGCAGATGGATGGACTAGCCCCTTACCGGCTTAAACTGAGAGTAAAGTTCTTCGTGGAGCCTCATCTCATCTTACAGGAGCAGACTAGGTAAAGTGATGCTAAAATAAACCAATGTCAAATAAACCTTTGGTTCCATTTAGAAAGGGTCATTGCACCTTCCCAGAGGTGTTCATTCACAGGCAACTTTTTTTGATAGAGAGTGAGTTGGATCATAACTTAGAAGTTTTTTCTGGCATAGCCCTTTTAATGAAATGAAGAAGGAGCTGTATAGCTGGCCTAAGGTATATTTCCAACTCTTCTTGTAATTTTTCTTATCTTTATACACAACGAGAGAGCAGGGCTGAATTCTTACAAACACTGGAGATTAGTGCCACAACTGAGAGACAGACAGACAGACAGACAGGGATGGGGGGGGGGGGAGGGACAAACCCTATTGACTTCCTGATAGCTGCATCTAATGCCCGAAAGTAACCTCTGCCTCAGCAGTGTTACTATAGGTCTTTGTAGACTGTTCTAACAGAAAGCAGGAAACAGTTCCTCTTGGATTCCTTAAACCTTGGTCAACTTCTTCAACCCAGTGTCAGATTACAATTTGTAGCAAAGAGCTCTGTCCGATGTAATGCAGAATTTTTAAAGTTTTGAAATTTCTTGAAAACTTAGTAAGGCAATTCTTTTAAGGCCAGTGTAACCCAACTCCAACCCACAGATATGGTACACATGGTTGTTGAGTTTAGATTCTTTACTTTTAGAAAACTACCAGTAGTGGTAGACACCCGGAGCATGTGTTTCCTCTTTCAAACTGCAAATGTTTTCTCCCCTGGATTGACTGGAATACTTTTGTGAAGGATGAGCCAAAATAGGAACCAGTGTTTCATATTTATTGCTGAAGTGCAAGAGACCTAAATCTTATAATAGCATGTCAAAAATAAAAAGGAAAACAACTAATTCTAAATATGGCATACTTTGGATCTAAGTTCTAATGTTTTTCATAAGAACTTTTTTGGAAATTTACCATGCACATGAAAAATGTGAGTGTGAAAATTTTGAGGAATGATGAATAACCAATATACTTTAAGAGTTTTTAACATGTTATTTTTTTGTTTGTTTACCGAGGTACACTGATAGAAACATATTTTGAAATACTATTCATTTGAATTGGAAATCTTTGTTTTGCCTTGTTATGGAGCTTTAAAGAGTGAGATAAATGTTCAGTTTTGTTTCTGAAGGAACTGGTATATTGAATTCTTAGTGCTCCTAAAATGGTCTCGCAAAATATTCAGGTGGTTGCTTATTTAAGGATGTTTTAGCTGTCTAGGTGAATTAGAATGGTTTGGTTTATTGTTTTGTTTGTTTTTTACTTAAAGCTGATTTGTGAAAACTTCCACTTTTTACTTCAGTGTGATAACTGGCTGTCAAGTAAGACAACAATATGTATAACACACAACATATTGGTATTTTTATTGTGTACTTTTAGCATGATTTTGTAATCATTTCAGGGCCTCCAGATGTAAATCTATTTTGATGACACAAATTTATTTTTTAAATCCTCAGAAATTCAGAGTGAAGACATCATTTAAACACTGGCTGAGGTCATAATAGTATATAAAACATTTGTATAATGAATACCTACAGACTTTAAATTTTACTATAAGATGGTCTTTACCTGTGCTTTCTTATACTTGAGTTAATAACTATTATCAAATTATCTTATTCATGCAAGAAGTAGAGACAGTTTGTGAATTAGAATTGGAATAAGATTTCCTACTTTATTGGCTCAATTGACTTTGACTCTTGAGATTCAGACCTAATAGCATCCAAAGAATCTACCCATCTAGTTAGACTAGGTAATTTTAATTGATTGTAGATACTTTTGAAATCTTATGGAAAAATTAGTGTGATCTAAGTTTTTGACTTACTTTTAAAATGTTGAGACCCCTGGCCAGAGTGGCTGTGTTGTTTGGGCATCATCCCATGCACTGAAGGGTTGCTGGTTTGATTCCCTATGGGACATGTGCCCAGGTTTCAGGCTTGATCCCTGGAGTTGTGGGGGAGGGGTATGCAGGAGGCAGACGATCAGTGTTTTGCTCTCACATCAGTGTTTCTCCCTCTCCCTTCCTCTCTCTCTCAAAATCAATTAAAAAGTCATTTTAAAAAATGTTGGTGAATCTTAGTTGTTTTTGTGGGGTTGTCTAAAACACAGGCTTTTAAGAAAATGCCACCTAAAGGTTATATTGCATTATGCCTTGATAACTAGATAAAGTGGTGTGTTATTAGCATTTGTACCTTTTAATTAGGGTCAGAAGTTATACTAGGTCCAGTTTAGTTACTATTAGCATTGTTTTTATGTGCATTATACTATAGAACAAAAATACTTATCTCCCCTAATGTTATGTTAGCAAGATAAAGCTGGTTGATAAACTTTTTGATGTTTAATTATTCATTATAAAATACTTATACAAAATGACACAGACATAAAATAGATGTGTTTATGTAGTGAGTAAACAGCTTTACCAGTCCAGTTATGAGAGGTGAGTGTTTACTGTCTCTAAGTCAAGTCATAAGGGTACATTTAATGTACTGAAAGTGTCTGGACTGTTTATTAAGTGGTGCTGAAATACCCTGGCTGAGCTGTCCTCTGTGGACAATTAAAGCAGCCTGCTCACAGTACAGTTGGTCTAACTGGGGGCTGGCTAATATATTTGCATTAGATTAGGAGGGTACTGTGAGAATGACAGGCAGGAAAGCCTGTTTGTAAAAGGAGGGTGCTGGGGTCCAGGTAGAAGGCTGCATTCTAGGTCCAACTCTGCCACCCAACTAACTACCAGTGTATGTAGATGTCCAAGACTGAGCCAGCTCAGCCAATTGAGATAACAATTGAAAGCCTGGGACAAGATTGTCTCTAAAATCTCTTCTAGCAGATTTTTTTTCCCCCTTGCTTCTGCTGCCTCCCTATATGATTTTCCTCAATACATTTCTCTGAATACAGAGAAAAACCCATCAAGTGTCTGCTTAGATTGGTACGTAAAGTTAATTAGTCTCTTATTTGGCCTAATTTCAGATTTGGTTCTTTACCCAGATTATTATGTTTGCTCTTGAATGGAGGCGTGGAAAGTAACCAGAGAGTCTTGTTTAGATGCAGCTGGCACATTTCAGAGATAGAGACAGCAGGTATTTTCAGCAGGTGTTTGCCGTGCTATGGATTCAAAGTAAAAGTGAAACTAATGTATTCTGGAAGTAGGTCTGAAATAAGAATCTTTGAAATTCTTGCCTTTCAAAGGCCCTTGAGTACTCACAGCAATTCAGACTAGATTTTGTCAACATGTTGAAAACCAGAGATTAAGGAATTAAATGCTTCATCTTCAGAGATAGTAATTATACCATCCACTGCCAGTAAAATCTATTTCTCCTGAGGTTGCCACATTTAGAAGGTCTTCGTTAGGGACCCTCCTGCTTAGGTTAAGACTGACCCACACCAGAATTCTCTTTCTCAAGGAGCAACCCCAATATCCTGAACTAAATGTTCATGGAAATGCTGTGCTCCCGAATTTTGAATTTCATCAAGATTTCAATGATGAGCCCTGGCTGGTTTGGCTCAGCGGTTAGAGCATCGGCCTGCGGTCCCGAGAGACCCGGATTCGGTTTCCGCTAAGGGCATGTACCTTGGTTGCAGTTTGTCCCCGGCCCTGGTTGGGTTGTGTGGGTGGCAACCACTCGATGTGTCCCTTTCACATCGATGTTTCTCTCTCTCTCTCTCTCTCTCTCTCTCCCTCCCTCCCACTCTATCTGAACAAAATATCAAAAAATGTCCTCGGGTGAGGATAAAAAAAAAAAAAAAAAATTTCAATGATGAGCAACTTGGTTAAATCCTGCCTGCCCTCAAACCTCAGCTCAGTCGCCACTCTTCACTAAGGCCATCTCTAGGCCCATGCAGGAGACTAACCTCTCCCAGGACATCCTGTGACTTTCCTTTATAGTATTTCATGAGTGTACAATACTGCATTTACTGATGTGACAATTTGTTTATTGTCAGCCACTCTAATAATCCAAGTTCCTTGAAACAGAGAACTGATCCACATTGTAGCCCCAGAGTCTAGGAAGTGCCTGGTGCATAATAGTCATTGAATCAATGGGTTAAGAACTTGGAAGTAAATAAAAATCAGATTAACTGATACTGATGATACTCATTATCTTACAGAAATTGAACTGTTTTGCCAGTTTGCGTCTATAAACTGAAAAGTTTGAGACTAAGAGGAATCGCACCATTAAAACATTTTGTAGTTATTATTCTCTGTTAAGAATTTGCTCAATGCTTAGCATTCTTTTGCTTCCTTCACCCCCTTCACTTCACTCTTGAAGCCATTTGTTTATGGTGTGTGTGTGTGTGTGTGTGTCTGCCCAAACACAAAATAGGTTCCAGGAACGTAAAAATGGTAAAAAACAGACTTGTATAATATTGCCAAAGAAAGTATTAATTCAGTTTCTGAATTCTAACTTATTTATTTTTCTTTTTGCTCATAATACAGGATGTTTGTGTTATTACATGTTTATTTTAGCCACGCATCTGCCATCTGGGCACCTTCAGTCTCTTTATGAATCTCCAATACTTAGATATTTGTATGAAATCTCCAAAAGACATTGAGGAATCGATTTTTTTATGCAATCAAAATGAACTTTTAATCTTGACCATATAATTTTTAAATAAAATGTAAAGGTTTGGTTGGCACTTAGCATCAGACTCTGGGTGACCAGTGGTGCGTAGTTCCAGGGACACCAAGTGTATTTATCGTTAGTTGTGTCCCACTGCACCTGGTGCCACACTTCTCCCCACTAATCTAGATTGTTAAGAAAGAGATTGTAGTTCACACTGATAAACTATAGGAGTGCCTCAGTTGTTGTTTGCCAAGCACAGGTATCTGTGGTGAATAATCATTCTTTAGAAGAGCAGATTTTATGCTCCCAAGGAATAGTCTTCTTCTGGTGTGGGTTGTAATCACTTATGGGGTTGGAAATGTCCTCCATCACCACCACCGCTCCACTTCCATATCCTTTACCTTCTTGGAGCTCAAGGAGGAGCAAATTTATTAGTG